TTCTCAAAAGACAGCAACGTATTTGATTTCTGTGATGCCACTTCCATCTCATTTTCTTCTACCTCATTGACCACTTGTGAGCCATTTCTTTTCTTTTTTATTTTATTTCTTTTTTCTTTTCCTTTGAATTCATGACCGTGTGCTTGCAAGGCAGGTGCTTATGCCACTGAGCTAAATCTCCAGCCCCTCTTTTTTATTTTACAGAGAAAAAAATCCTCTAAAAATAAAAGTGTTTCAAGAGAGGCTAATAGGAGAGTCACAATAATGAATAAAATGTATATTATTATCTTCATAGTAGTTACCTATGATATAAGACATAGGCAAAAAATATTGTCTAAACATTAGCGCAAAGAACTAAGAGAAATTAGCTGTGTAACTATCTTAGTTATCTTTTTGTATATATAAATATTCTTTTTTTTCCTTTCTTTCTTTCCCCCTACCTCCATCAGTGTATCTTTTCTTTTGGATAGTTTCTTCCCAATTCACAACAGCTGTAGTACATTTTAGATCGTATATCTTCATTCAACATCTCACAGAAGAGTGACAACATGTGTCTGATTTATTTCACTTAGGTGTATTGTCTCAAGTTGCATCCATTTACCTATAAAAGCCTTAAGTTTACCCATCTTTATAGCTAAGTAGCACGCTATTATATAAAAAGACCGCCTCTTTTTCATCCATACCATGGGTGGTAAGCATTTGTGTTGTTTCTAAGACTTAGCTATTACAAATTATGCTGCTATAAACATGTGTGCACATGCATTGTTGTGGTATGATGATTTTAATTCTTGACAGAAGATATCCAGAAGGGGAATATCTGGGTAAAATGGGACTTTTAATTTTATTTTTTCCATGGAAATCTTTAGTAAAGAGTGAAAGATTTATTTTAATCCCACTTTTTAAAGGTATCTCCACACTGATTTTCACAGTGGTTGTACTAGTTTATACCCTAACTTTTCCCCCACATCCCTGCCAGCATGTTATTGATTGATTTCTTGATGATAGCCATTCTGACTGGAATGAAATGGATTTTCAGGATTGTTTTAATTTACATCTGTCAGATGACCAATGATGTTGAACATTTTTCTTTACATTTATTTGCCAATTGTATTTCTTCATCTTAGAAATGTGTATTTATCTTAGATACCCATTATAGGTTTAGCTCTTCGAGTTTGGAGAGTCTGATGTTTTTCTTTGTTTTTTAAATTTTATTTAAGGAGAAAAAAAAAAAACCGGCAAAAGGGTACAAATTATACAGAATTTTAAAAAAAGTAAGAAATCACTAGTTAATAGATTACATATTGTCATCTTAGAAATAGTTGTTCAAGTTACAAAATTAAAGCATATAAAGTGGACATTCAAACAGTGAGACTGCAAACAGTTCTGTTCAATGATCCAACAAAAACTCAGAATATGATTATCTATCTTGTATGCTTAAATATACATGCAGTTATATCATTTAGATCACTTTCTTTTCCTCTTTTTTTTTTACAATGACAATTACACATTTTGGGTTTTATTACTTCCACAGTTATTATTACTTTTTTTTTTTTGAAGAGAATAAAACCAAATGTGACATAACAAAACAGAGTCAGTCAAATCAAAGAGATAGACATAGTACATGATGTAAAAACAGATTACAAGGTGATCAACAATGGTTATCATAATGCCTCTTGCTATCTTAAAATGAATTGCCTATATCATTGGTTATAATAAAATTGAACAAAACAGTAAAGAAAAACCAATAAAACCAAAACATTGGAGACATTACAGGACTTCAAAGGAAGATAATAGTCAAACCAGAATGGGCATCATAGTGAATCTTACTGTCTTCACAGTTGTTGCCTATGCTCTCAAACTTGGTACTATCAAGCAAAACAGAATAGAGTAAAATCAGTCAAAACAAGATGGTGAGAGCAATAGAGGGTTTCAAATCAAGTTAATAGGAAATCAAAGTGACTTACCATAATATATCCTGCTATTTTTTATTTATTTTTTCCCTTAATTAAAAAGATAAAAATAAAAAAATAAATAATAAAAAAAGGAGATTGAGATAAAACAGGGCATAACAACATAACAGCACAGGCCAAAACATAACCATATAAGCAAAATAGTGTTTCACCACAAGATATCCCGACATAAAAGTAGTTACCATACTGTCTCTTTCCTTGAAATTTTGAGTATAACTTCGTATACCCTAGCATCAAACATATCAAGACAGTGTAAAACCATTCAAGAGAATGACAGTATTACAGGATATTTAGAACCAACTAACAGAAAATGAACAATGGGTTCTGTATTATCTCCTTGTCTATAAAATTTTTTGTTTATATTATCACATATAATAAAGTCCAATAAGATACAACATATTAAGACCGATGGAGACAGAAGAACAAAAGCTTAATGGGACTTCAAAACAAGAGTATATTAAATCAGCACTAGCTATTATGATGTCTTGTTTTCTCCAAAATAGCTGTTCCTACCATCCAACCTTCTCTGCCTCATTTCTGTTGAGCTCTTTTTCTGTCATTAGTTGTCAGTTTGTCTTCTTCATTTCACTTTCTGCTCCATTCATTGTGGCCTCTCTGCCACTGCTTCTGGAATCTCGGTATTTTTTTTTTTTAGAATGTCCTGCAGTATTCTCTGAAGAGTTAAATTGATGGTTGCAAATTCCCCTAGTTCCTCTTTATCCTGGAAGCACCTTGTTTCTCAATTAATTTCTAGGGACAGTTGTGCAGGATGTATCAGTCTTGGCTGGAGGTTATTGTCTTTCAAAGCTTGAATTATTTTGCCCCATGCTCTTCGTGATTTGATGGTTTGTGCTGAGAAGTCTGCTGTAATTCTGATGGGTGTTCCCTTGTAAGTGATCTGTTTCTTGTCTCTGACAGCTTTTAATATTTTGTTCTTATATTGGATTTCTGGAATTTTGATTATTGTATGCCTGGGTGTAGTTCTGTTTGGGTTGTAGGTGGCTGGGGTCCTGTATGCCTTGTACATCTGAGTATCTTTTCCCATATTAGGGAAGTTCTCCTTGATTCTTTCTGTGAATAGCCTTTGCAGTTCATTTGTTTGTATCCCTGCTTCTTCCTTTATGTTCTTAATTCTTAAGTTATAGATCCTCTTATCTTCTAGCCTTTGTATTGTTACTGCTTGTTTCCTTGTAATTTTTAAGAAGTTTTTCCTTTCATGCTCCCACATTACAAATCTGTCCTCCAGTTCACATAATCTATCCTTAGTTTCTTTCAAGCTGTTATGCCAGCTTTCAATAGCGTTTTTAGTTTCCTGGCAATCTCTTTCAACCTGCTTCATGTATTCTATGTTTTCTCTATTTTCTCCATCACACAATTCTCCCCTTTTTTTCTGTTCTCCCATTCCACCATCTGTTTTTTCTTGGGTGGTGCTTAGCATTTCTTTAACTATTCTACTTATATCTTGCTTTACTTCATTAAATTGTCCTCATTCTCCTTTGCATTTACCTTTCCTGGATCAGTGCTCTCAGGATTGGGGACTGAGGACACTTTCTTGTTGCTCCCTCTTCCTATACTTTTTGTTCCTTCCATACAAGCATATATAAGAGGCCCAGTTTCTTTCTTTGTCAGTTATAGTTTGTTTGAATCATGCCAGCTAGGTGTTCCTGCCCACTGCAGTGCACTAGGGAGACACAGACCTGAGCAGCCTATGCTGGGCCCGCCCCTCCAGGTCAGTAAACCTGCTGAAGGCTTCACTGCATTAGGGTGCACTCCCAGGTGCAGGGACCTGGTTTGGGCTAGCCTACTGGGTCATGGTCTGCGGCATCACTCAGGTCAAGCGCTCCCACCAATCCCACTTGAGAGGGGAATATGTGACTGAAGTCACTGCAGTGTCCTGTTCCGGCTAGTCTGCCCGATCTCAGAATGTCCTTTGTTGGAGCCTCCTAGTCTATGGAAGGGTCCCCATTCCTCTCACTCACTGCAGGTCGATGCAGGGCTCCCACTGGCTCTGTTCTCAATTCGGTTGACCGATTCCCACTCTCAGAGCTTTCGCTTCCCTATCCCTGCTGTGCCAATTCAGATGCTGCAGCGGTGGCAGGAAATTCAAGCCATGATTTCCAGAGGCCCGGGTTCCAGCTTTGGCACTGAGACTTTAGCTGTTCCAGTCATAGCACCGGATTGCATTTCCAGTTGACTTCTTTCAGCTTAGTTCATTCCTGGGTCGGCAGGGTATATTTCCTCTCCCCCTGCTTAGGACTCCCCATATTGCACCATTCCTGGAATCTAAGCTGGATATCTCAGAGAGCCTCTGTAGCTGCTATCTATCTGCCATGTTTTCCCAGAAGTCCAAGTCTGATGTTTTTCAATTCTTTATATGTTCTATCTATAATTCTTTGTGCTAAAGAGCAACTGGCTTAATTTTTTTCCTACTCTATGGATTATCTTTTCACCTTGTTGGTGATTTCTTTTGTTGTGCAAAAATTTTTTAATAAGGTGAGATGCAACTTGTTGATTCTTTGTAGTGTTTCCTGTGAGCTCCGCATTTTATTCATGAAGTCTCTGCCTGAATCTATGTCTTCAAGATTTCTACCTATTTTCTACTACACTAGATTTAGTGTTTCTATTTTAATATTTAGATCTTTGATTCATTTTGACTTTAATGCATGGTGATAGACAAAGGTCTAGTTTTAGTCTTCACCATATGGAAAGCCAGTTTTCCAGCACCACTTATTAAAGAGGTTGTCTTTCTTCCAGCGAACATGTTTGGCTCCATTGTCAAAGACAGGATGACTGAGTGTGTCTGGAGTTGCATCTACATGTACTATTCTGTTCCACTGATCCTCAGGTCTTTTTCCCCCAATATCGTGCTGGTTTTATCACAGTGGCTTTGTGGTATAATTTCAGGTCAGGGATTGTGATGCCTCCTGATTTGCCCTTGTTGCCCAGAATTGCTTTTGCTCTTCTAGGTCTCTTCTGGCTTGAAACGAATTTTAAGAATGTTTTCTGTAGTTCTATGAGATATGAAAATGGTATTTTGATCAGGGTTTTATTGAATCTGTATAACAGTTTTGGGAATATAGCCATTTTCACCATGTTGGCTCATTCTACTCATGAGCTGGGGATATCTTTCCATTTTCTGATATCTTCTTTGGTTTCACATTTCATAGTACTTTCTTTTTTAAATTTTATTTAAAGCGAGAATAAACAAGACAAAAAGGGTAAAAATAATACGTAATTTCAAAGAAAAAATAAAGAGAAAGAAATTGCTAGTTGATAATTACATATTGTCTTCTTACAAATAGTTGTTCAAGATATAAAAGTGAAGCACACAAAGTGGACATTCAAACAGTGAGACTGCAAACAGTTCTGTTCAACTATCCAACAAGAACTTAGTAATATGGTTAACAATCCTATACACCTAAACATACATGCAGTTATCCATATATTCATGTATGTTGAGATTAACCAAACCAAAGCAGGCTAAAATCACTCTGAACAAAGAATAATAGTATTGCTGGATTTCACATCATTACACTATGGGATCAGCACTCAGTACTATAATGTCTCTTTTTCTTCAGTAGTTGTTCATTTCATCATGTGTTATAAGATCAGGCCTCATAAACTGTTTATAGGTTCTACGCATGCATGAGTCTCTACATGTATTTCTATCCTTTCTATATTAAAGGGAGAAACAAAACAAAGAGACAAAACAAAAGATACTCCCATAAACATGTAATGAAAAAGTCATATGAAATGGAATAGTATTGTAATTTTCAATATATAGATCTTTTACTTCCTTTGCTAGATTAAGTATTTCATTTTTTAGATGCCGTTGTAAAGGGTGTGATTCCCTAACTCTTTGTGAGTTCATTGCTTGTGTGCAGGAATGCTGTTGATTTTGTATCCAGCTACACTACTGAATCTGGTTTTTAAATTTACAAGTCTTTTGCTGGACTTTTAAAATCTTCTATGTAGAATATCCTGTCATTTGCAATAATGATAATTATCCTTGTTCCTTTTTTTCTCTTTTCTAGTTGCTTTAACTAATGTTTCCAAAACTATATTGAATAAGAGTGATGATAGTGGATATCTTTGTCTTGTTCCTGATTTTAGAGCAAAAGTTTTTCATTTTTGACCATTTAGTAGGATGTCAACTGTTTGTTGGTCGTAGATGGCTTTTATCAGGTTGAGATAAAGATCCTTTATTACAATTTATTACATCCTTTATTACAATCCTTTATTACAATCTGTAGGTGTTTTTTAAACCACGAATGGGAGTTGAACTTTGTCAAATGCTTTTTCTGCATTTATTGGGATGATCACATGATTTTTGTCTTTGATTCTGTTAATATGGTGTATTACATTTATTGATTTGCATGTGTTGAACCATCTCTGCATTCCTTGGATGAATTCTACTTGGTCATGGTGTATAATCATCTTAGTAATTTGCTTCATTCTTTTGCCTGTGTCTTTTTGAGAAATTTTATGTCTATGTTCATTGTGGGAGAGTGGCCTGTAGTTTTCTTTTCTTTTTATTTTTTTGGTTGGATTCTTTTCTAGTTTTGAAATCAGAGTAATATTTGCTTCTAGGAATAACTGGAAGTATTGCTTCCCTTTCAGTTTCTTTAAAGAGTTTCAGCATTAGTAGCATTAGTTCTTTAAATTTCTTATAGAATTCAAAAGTGGATCTGTAAGTACCTTGGCATTTCTTTGTTAGTAGGTTGTTAACTACATTTTCAATTTTATTGTCTGATACTGTGTTACAATTTTTATATTCTTGTGATTTAGTTTTGGTAATTCAATTGTGTCCAGGTAGGATGCAGAAATGAATGAGGTTAAATATTGTAGAAGTAAAGTTAGGGGCATGGGATGATCATCCAAATTTGGGGTAATTAAAGGACACAAGTGGGAAGAATTGGAAGAAAAAGCCTAGGAGTATTGAAGTGAAATAGAAAGGGAAGAGACAATGTTTACTCATATGAAAGTATTATCAAATCAAGCAAGATAATTCAGGAGAGGGAGAGGACAAATAGAGTAAAACAAAAAGAAAGGTTAAGGTTCTAAATCATGAAAGAAAAAAAGAAAAGAAAAAAATCACCAGGAAACAAAAACAACTACGCACTGAAAAACAACCAAACATACTGAAAGAAAAACAAAACAGGACAAAGCAGAGCAGAAAGAAAGAGGAAAAAGTCACTAATCCAGCCTACAAAGAGGAAAACTAATCAGAGAAAATAAAACCTGTGAAATTCCTCTAGTGTCTATTGTTCTAGGGCAGGTCTAAGTTTGGACCCTAGAAATGTGTACTATGACCAACATTGCAGGTGTGTTTGTACTGGGTTTGAGGCTGAACTTCATCTATGAATTTGGGGTTTGAGGTTAGTTTCTGTGGCTGGAGTTCTCACCAGCCATTTAGAAAGGAAAACAAATTAAAAAGAAAGAAAGAAAGAATGGGGGACAGCCCTACCTGCCTGCTTTTATTCTGAGTGTCTTTGTCTCTAGGCACAATGCAGGTTCACCTAACTTACCACCTGCTGTCTCTTACTGTTACTGATGTTTTGGATTGCTAGTCCATCATTTGGGCGCTACCTGGAGGTTTGATGCATCACTGACTTTCCTGTTAGTTTCCTGGCCTTGCCTAGAGAGGGTAGGAGGAATCTTTGGCTTTCAAACTGTGGTCATCACTGGAAACTGCCAACAGAGGGAGAGAAGAGCTGATTTCCAGGAATCTCCCTGTAATACACCTGGGTCCTGCCCATGGAGTGATGCAGGCGCTGATCTATGGGTGTCTTCCAGAGGGACACAAAGGTCCTGCCAGTGGAGGGAGGAATGGAGGAGCAGATTTCAGGGACTCTTCCTTGGTTTATTTGGGTCTCACTGGGAGAGGAAGGAAGGGGCCCATCTCTGGGTCTCTTAGCTGTTCACCTAGGTCTCTACAGTTGAGGAAGGGAAGATCTGATCATTGGGACACTCCCCTCAGTACACCCAGATCCCATTAGTGGAGGAAGGAAGCGGCTTGTCACGGGGACTCTCCTCTTGATTCACCTGTTTCCTGTTAGTGGAGGAAGCCAGGAACTGATCTCGGGGCCTCTGTCCTCGGAGCACCGTGGTCCCATAAGTGGAGGAAGAAAGTGGCTGGTCACGGGGACTCTCGTCTTGATTCACCTGTTTCCTGTTAGTGGAGGAAGCCAGGAACTGATCTCGGGGCCTCTGTCCTCGGAGCACCGTGGTCCCATAAGTGAAGGAAGAAAGTGGCTGGTCACGGGGACTCTTCTCTTGATTCACCTGTTTCCTGTTAGTGGAGGAATCCAGGAGCTGATCGCCGGGCCTCTGTCCTTGGAGCACCGTGGTCCCATAAGTGAAGGAAGAAAGTGGCTGGTCAAGGGGACTCTCCTCTTGATTCACCTGTTTCCTGTTAGTGGAGGAATCCAGGAGCTGATCGCCGGGCCTCTGTCCTCGGAGCACCGTGGTCCCATAAGTGAAGGAAGAAAGTGGCTGGTCACGGGGACTCTTCTCTTGATTCACCTGTTTCCTGTTAGTGGAGGAAGCCAGGAGCTGATCTCGGGGCCTCTGTCCTCGGAGCACCGTGGTCCCATAAGTGGAGGAAGAAAGTGGCTGGTCACGGGGACTCTCCTCTTGATTCACCTGTTTCCTGTTAGTGGAGGAAGCCAGGAACTGATCTCGGGGCCTCTGTCCTTGGAGCACCGTGGTCCCATAAGTGGAGGAAGAAAGTGGCTGGTCACGGGGACTCTCCTCTTGATTCACCTGTTTCCTGTTAGTGGAGGAAGCCAGGAACTGATCTCGGGGCCTCTGTCCTCGGAGCACCGTGGTCCCATAAGTGAAGGAAGAAAGTGGCTGGTCAAGGGGACTCTTCTCTTGATTCACCTGTTTCCTGTTAGTGGAGGAATCCAGGAACTGATCTCGGGGCCTCTGTCCTCGGAGCACCGTGGTCCCATAAGTGGAGGAAGAAAGTGGCTGGTCAAGGGGACTCTTCTCTTGATTCACCTGTTTCCTGTTAGTGGAGGAATCCAGGAACTGATCTCGGGGCCTCTGTCCTTGGAGCACCGTGGTCCCATAAGTGAAGGAAGAAAGTGGTTGGTCAAGGGGACTCTTCTCTTGATTCACCTGTTTCCTGTTAGTGGAGGAATCCAGGAGCTGATCGCCGGGCCTCTGTCCTCGGAGCACCGTGGTCCCATAAGTGAAGGAAGAAAGTGGCTGGTCACGGGGACTCTTCTCTTGATTCACCTGTTTTCTGTTAGTGGAGGAATCCAGGAGCTGATCGCCGGGCCTCTGTCCTTGGAGCACCGGGGTCCCATAAGTGAAGGAAGAAAGTGGCTGGTCACGGGGACTCTTCTCTTGATTCACCTGTTTCCTGTTAGTGGAGGAAGCCAGGAGCTGATCGCCGGGCCTCTGTCCTTGGAGCACCGTGGTCCCATAAGTGAAGGAAGAAAGTGGCTGGTCACGGGGACTCTCCTCTTGATTCACCTGTTTCCTGCTAGTGGAGGAATCCAGGAGCTGATCGCCGGGCCTCTGTCCTTGGAGCACCGGAGTCCCTTTAGTGGATGAAGGAAGTGGCTTTTCACGGGGACTCTCCTCTTGATTCACCTGTTTCCTGCTAGTGGAGGAATCCAGGAGCTGATCGCCGGGCCTCTGTCCTTGGAGCACCGTGGTCCCTTTAGTGGATGAAGGAAGTGGCTTTTCACGGGGACTCTCCTCTTGATTCACCTGTTTCCTGCTAGTGGAGGAATCCAGGAGCTGATCGCCGGGCCTCTGTCCTTGGAGCACCGGGGTCCCTTTAGTGGATGAAGGAAGTGGCTTGTCACGGGGACTCTCCTCTTGATTCACCTGTTTCCTGCTAGTGGAGGAATCCAGGAGCTGATCGCCGGGCCTCTGTCCTTGGAGCACCGGGGTCCCTTTAGTGGGTGAAGGAAGTGGCTTGTCACGGGGACTCTCCTCTTGATTCACCTGTTTCTTGCTAGTGGAGGAAGCCAGGAGCTGATTGCTGGGACTTTTACCTTTGTTCCTCAAGGAGGAAGTAAAGGGCACCTCCCTTTGTTCACCTGGATCCTGCTGAGAAAGGCAGGTAGTAGCCCAATGTGAAGAGTTTTTTTTCCTGGCTGTTCTAGGTTTTGAGTTCTAGAAAATTAAGAAAATACATTATTAACGATAAAGAGTGACACATGTAATGTTATAAAATTGACAAATTCACCAAACATACATAAAATTTCTGAGTATGTGCCTTATAGTTGAACTTTAAAATAAACCAAAAGGATAATATTGAAAGGAGGAATAGATAAATTCAAGTTTCAACACTCCTTTCTTAATAATTAATGAAATAAGTGACCAGAAAATCAGGCAAGATTTTAAAGGTTTGAATGGTGTCATCACTCGGTAGCCCTAACTAAGGAGCCTTTCTTTGCAGAGGATTCTCTTTGGTAGGAATGGGTACTGTGGTGTCAGACTTCTGTCTCTTGGATGGAAGTCTATGTCTCTGGAGCCCACTCTTTGGAATTGACAGTGAGCCGCATGTTGCAGCCTACTTGAGGGCAAGTTTGATGAAGGCTGAGAGTTGTGCTCTTGAGTGTACAGAAGGTCAATAATAGCAGGACCTCTGGGTCAGTAGGAAGAGGTCACATGAAGACAGCAGGCAGTTCACTAATGCTGGAGCTCACACCTTTCTGGTGAGTTTTCATCTGCTAAAGACCCATAGAGTAGCAGATGTGATCCCAACCCTGGAATTTGGGCCTAGGCAGAGAGCTGGAATAGTTGAAATGGTGCTGGCATTCCAGCAAAAATTCTTAGGAAAATATCTCTAGCCAAGATGGAAGGATCATGTTCTCAGAGGCCAGCCTTCTGCATCTTTCCAGTGTCATGAGGTGATCAGGGATAACCTACTATCCATCATTTGGTGACCTCATCATAGTGTTCCCTGCTTTGTAGGACCTCCAGCTGTGGATGTTGGATCAATATAGTATAAGAAACAATGAATGAGATGATTCAGATTGATACTTAAGATAGTTTGTAGGAATATTGCACAGCTCCTTTAGTATGTCACATCCATGTGCCCTGTTTTTCTCTGTCCCATAACTCTCTTTGCTGATGTGGTGAAAAAGGACTAGAAGTGATGTTGGAAGGAGCATGATCAATAATGTACAAACTGGGGCTGATATGTACATTGCTAATGCCAAGTATACTAGCATAGCTGTAGCTCTCTGGCCCAAATGAGCTGTTGTGGATTTTTAATCTTCTATTTTGGGCAGCAAATGTGTATCATCAAAGCAAGTATCATCCACTGGTGATTAATTCAGAGCTTCATTAATAGTATGTTGTAAATATTTGGTCTGTCTCTTTTTCAGTTCTTTTTATCTGTCTCGTCTTTCTTCTACAAAGTGAATAACAATAATAACCATCTGCATGCCCAGTGGTATGATGTAAGGTGCTTTATGTAAAATATTTACTTCAATCCACAAGGAAGGTCTATAAGAACTTATTATATTCATATTATAAATTTGAAGGATCAGAGTCTCATACATGGGAAGTGATATTTTCTTTACTGTTTTTGATTTACTTTCTAAACAGAGGAGTGAAGGGCAGAGACTTTTATTTTTATGTTGAAAAAAATAGTATCTTTACCTTTCTTGTACCTTGTCTGTGTTTGTATAAACAAAATCCAATGATTGCGAGAATCAATAGTAGTATAACAGTTGCCATCACAGCCATGATTAGTGTGTAGAACGAGTATTCTGCGACTGAAATTCAGATGTGTCTCCGATCAGTTTCAGTTAAGAGAGCTATTTCCATATTCACTTTTTGCTCAGTGAATCCCCAATTACCACCTTTAACAATTACAATCTGGGATACTCCCTCTGTCTCTTTTTCCTCTCAAATTATGGTTAACTGGTAAGTGTGTACCTTCTTTCAAATATTATCTTCGCATCCTTGTTCAGCAAATAAATTCATTTCTGAATTGGAAAAATAGTAGTAGAAAAGAGTGTGATGAGATTGAGAGTACTAACAAATCAGTATGTCAGGGAGTTAACTCAGAGTGTAGGCCATAATAAAGTGAGCAGCTTGAGAGAGCGTGGAGAAAAAGTTTGAGATGAGAGAACTGGGGACAGTGGGAAGCTGATTCAAAGTAAAGGGTGAATAGGATGAACATACTGTATTACAATTTAGAGCTCGGTCATATCAAAGCTCTCTCCTCTGAGCTCTCTTTGGCAGCACTGCACACTTTCTTCCTGGCCTGGTATCAGTCATCCTTCTCGTCACTGTTGGCATCAGGCTCTGGCTCTCATACTCATTCCTTGCTAGTTCTGCCACTATCATTAATGATCTTCGTGTCCACATGGGCAAGCTATTGAATACTTCCATCTCTATAACATTCCGAGTAATACACATTTATTGATTTTTTCCCCTTTGTTCCATTTACTGTATTTGGCAGTGGGTTTAGAATGGTTAAAAAATCATGCCTCCTATTTTTCATTAAGCTTATTGTATAATAAATAACACTAACATTAAATAGATAAATGCAGAGAAACTATGTACTTTTATTTGCTTTGAGCTTAGGTTATGGAAACAAAAAGACACTATGAAAGAGAGCAAGCCCTCTAAAGGTGTAATGTTTTAAAATGAGAGGAATAAATAGACATTATTCAGGTAATAATAGATAAAATTATTGAAAAAGTTCAACAGAAATGCAGAAATCAGAAAATAAAGTGGAATGTAGTGGACAGCTATGACAAAATCATTACTGCCTATAAACAGAGAATTCTCATTTGTGTTCAGGCTCATCATATTTTGTTCAGACGAGAACATATTTAGGTACTGGGAAGATTTAGCAAAGAATCTGGTAAGAGGGTACAAATGAAATTAAAGAAGAAATTAGACAGTTTCCACTATTAAATGATAATGCCAATACAATGTATCAGAATCTTATGGGATGCAACAAAAGCAGTCCGACAAGGGAAATTTATAGAAGTGAATCCCCAAATTAAAAATTCAGCATGTTCAAATAATGCCTTAATTTTGAATCACAAACTTGTAGAAAAAGAACAAGACAAGCCCAAAGTTTGTATTGAGAGAGGAAATTATAAAGATCAGAGCAGAAATTAATGCAATGAGACTAAAAAGAAAAACACAAAGAACCAATGAATCAAAGAATTTGTTCTTTGAAAGATTAAGTGAAATTGACAAACCCTATCCAATCTTATTGAAAAAGGAAAGAAAAGACTCAAATTCATGCAATTAGGAATGAAAAGGGTGAAATTATAACAGGTTCTGTGGAAATCCAGAAGATCATCAATAACTACATCAAGAACCTGTATTCTAAAAAGATGGAAAACACAGGAGAAATGAATATATTCCTAGATACATGTGAATTATCAAAATTGAACCAAGAAGACATAAAAATTCTTAAAAAATCAGCCAATGAAGATCTAAGTCAAAATTTCCGAACAAAGAAAAGTCCATGTCCTGATATATTCACTGCTGAACTCTACAAGAAATTTAGAGAAGGCTTGATGACACTATATCTCAAACTCTCTAATGAAATTGAAAGGAAAACAATGCTCCCAAAGTCATTTCGGGAAGCAAGTATTACCCTGATACTAAAACCAGAGAAGGATCCATGCCAATCTCCCTAATGAATATAGATCAAAAATCCTCAAAAAGATACTGGCAAACTGAATGCAGCAAATCATTGAGGAGGTAAAACACCATGAGCAAGTAGAATGATTCATCTGAGGGATGCAGGGATGGTTCAACCTACATGAATCAATAAACATAATATACTATATGAACAGAGCCAAGGACCAAAACCATATGATCATTTCAATAAATGAAGAAAAAGCATTTGATAAAGACCAACACCTATTCATAGTGAAAAAGCCTAGAGAGACTTGGAATAAATGATCTTTATCTCAATATGATATAGGTCATCTATGAGAAATCAACAGTCAGCATTGTACTAAATAGTCATAAACTGAAAACTTTTGCTCTAAAATCAGTAACAAGACTGGGTTGTCCATGATTACCACTCCTATTCAATATAGTTCTGGAAACATCCAGAGCAATTAGACAAGAGGAAGAAACAAAATAAAGATAAGAAAAGAAGGAGTTAGATTATCATTATTTGCAGATGATGTGATACTCTGTCTACATAGATTTAAAAACTCCATTAAAAGACTTCTAAAATTAATAAACAAATTCAATCATGTAGCTGTATAGAAAATCAAGACTCAAATTCAACAGCATTTCTATATACAAATAACAAACTCACTGAGAGAAATTAAGGAAATCACTATCATAATAGTACTTCTCCTCTCCAAAAAGAAAAAAAAAAAAACAAAAAGAAATATTTAGGAATTAATCTAATGAAGGAAATAAAAACCTTTACATTGAAAACTATAGTACTCTGAAAAGGAGGATATCAGAAAGTGGAAAAATATACCTTGTCTTTGAAGAGGAAGAATCAAAATGATTATATACCCAAAAATTGTTACACTGATTTATGACACCCCAAACACAATACCAATAATATATCTCACAGAATTAGAGAAAAAAAATTGTAAAATTCATTTGGAACCAGAAGAAACCTAGAATAGCAAAAACAATCCTTAGAAACAAAGATAAGTCAGAGGGCATTATAATTTCTGATTCAAAATTATATTACAAAGCTACTGAAACAAAAACAGCATGATACTGGAAAACAACCCATGGATGTAAGAATATATGAAACAGATTAGAAAGTCCAGAAATATATCAAAATACACTCAGTCACCTTATCTTTGACAAAGGTTCCAAACACATTCACTGGAAGAAACATAACCCCTTTAATAAAGAAGGTGCTGGAAAAAGTGGCTTTCCACATGCCAAAATTAAAACTAAACCTGTATCTTTCACCATGAACTACACTAAAATTGAAATGGATGAGAAATCTAATTAAAATATAAACACTAAATATGGTGGAAGATAGAATATGTAGAACTCTTGAAAATCTGTGTTGTAATGGTTGATACATTATGTCAACTTGAGAAGTTTAGAAGTTTAACTCAGCAACTCAGCAGGGGACCAGGGTCCTCACTTTCTTAAGCACCCTGAGCCTGTGCAAGAGTGGGTACGGAGATGGTATGAATGTTACACCACCCTAGGGGTGGTAGCTTGCTTACAACATAAGGGAGGAAAAGACGTTTGCTACCCTTCTGTTTATTCTACTCTTGAAGTCTTCTGCCACCCTGCAGTGTTGCTCCTGTGCCATGCCACCCTACCTTGGAGCCAGCTGATTATGGACTAAAACTTCCACAAACTGTGAGCTAAATAAACTTCCTTCCTTAACTTTAGGTGTTGAGTAATTTGTTTCACCAATGAGGGGAGAGTAACGAAGACATAGGTGTATGCAAGGATTTTTATGAACAAAACCCAGATCAGAGAGAAAATATCACAAAGAATAAACAACTTGGGTGTCTACTTATAAAAAGCTTTTGCCAGCAAGAGAAATCAGAAACAGAATAGACAATCCACAGTGTGGGAAAACTTTTAGTCAATTGTTTCTCAGTCAGAGGACTAATATCTAGAATATATGAAGGACTTAAAAAAACCCAGACCTTCCCAAATACAAAGAACCAAGCTGAAACTGACCATCCGAAATGATTAGATTTCTCAATTAAATATATGAAAAAAATGTTCAATGTCACTGGTCTTTTGAGAGATGTAAATTAAAACAATGCTGAGATTCAAATTAAAACAATCAGTAATATGCTGCCAGTGCTGTGGGGATAAAGGAACTCTTCTCCATTGTTGGTGGGAGTGCAGATTAGTGCAACTACTGTGGAAATCAGTGTAAACATTCTTCAAAAAAATTAGGATTAGAGGTCCTATTTGAATCAGCTGTTTCCTTTTTTGGGTATATTCCCCCCCAATTAGAAGTATCATACCACAGCAACATATGCATACCCTTGTTTATAGTAGCACAGTTTATAATAGCTAAATCTTGGAAATAGCCCAAATTTCCATCAATGAATGAATGGATAAAGATTTTTTTTTTAATTTTAAAGATGAAAAAAGAATAAAAACAATGATATAAATTTCAAAGTAAAATAATAGTTTAACTCTGATAAGTATATTGCATATTGTTATATTCAAAGTAGTTGTTCATATTACAAGATATAAGCATAAAAATGATCAGTCTAACAATGAAAGTACAAACTGTTATTTTTGGTGAGCTAACAGAAATTTGTGGTATATTTGTAGTATATTTGTAGTAGATATGTAGTACATACTATATATATATATTTTTTTTTCCCCTTCTTTTCTCTTTTTCTGTATCCCAAGTTGTTCTACTGGAGAAGCTGTGGGGAAAATAAAACGCTTCTCCACTGCTGGTGGGAATGCAGACTTGTTCAACCATTTTGGAAATCCAGGTGGAGATTCCTCAAAAAACTAGCATTAGAGATTCCATTCGACCCACCTCCTCCCCTTCTGAATATTTACCTAGAAGAATTAAAAAATCATAGCACAGCAACTTGTGTACACCCATGTTTATAGCAGCATGATTTGTAATAGCTAAATCCTGGAAACAATCCAAATGTCCATCAACCATGGAATGGATAAAAAGATCTGGTATTCTTATACAATGCAGGATGGTTCAGGTATAAAGATAAAACTGTAGGCTTTTATAGGTAAGTGGATGCAACTTGAGATCATACTCTTAAATGAAATAAAGTAGACCCATGTGTGTAAATATCATATTATCTCCTAAGTGTAAAAAATGAAAGAATAAAGATTCAAAATGAGATCTTATAAGTTGTCAAAGTGAAAGTAAAGGAGAACCAGACTGCTCAAGACAAAAGAGCAACTGTTTTTTAAAAATATCATTGAGTACTACTCTACCACAAAGAAGGATCAATTGGAGACATTTCTATCTAAATGGCTACCCCTTAGGACTATACTCTTGAATGAAATAAATTGGATACACATATTTCAATATCACATTATTTAATAATCATGGGAAGAAGAGTTCAGGGGAGAGGAAGGGACTGGGAAAAAAGAGGAAGCAAGATTTGTCATGTACAAGTACTAATTCCCTGGATGAATGTTATCATTTGTGTATCTAAAATGTACCAGTCAAATAAAAAAATCTGAAAATGAACCTTGAAAAAAGAGATGTAGAAGGAGGAAAGTATGACAGTGGTTTTTAGTGAAAAGGACTCAGTTTCACTGGGGTAGTAAGTAGGATGAGGACCAAAAAATTTAGTGAGGAAAGAAAGGGAAGAAGTGAAAAGAGAGGGAAGTTAGATTCGAGTACCAAGGCTGCTGTTGTTGTAATGGAGGGGACAAATCCAGGAACGAAGCATGTCGAATGGGGAGCCAATCTCCCAAGGTTCCAGGTTAAGTAAAGAGCGGTTTTTCTCTCACCTGCTACGGACAATTGTTCTTCTTTTTTCTGATTCAGGACTTCGTTCCAGATAGAACAGGTCACATTCTCAGAAGGATTTCTGAGTAGCAGTGATGCAGTTACCTGGAACAGGCCTCTCTTGTCCTGGCTGTGAGTCTGAGACACAGAGGGAATTGTTTTTCCCTGAGAGTTTATCCACTGAATCACGGGCTGAGGGAACCAGCCTGCTGACTTGCACTCCAATTGGATTTCTCCGAATTTAGTAACCTCCACATGAAAGTGAGGATCTGAACCTACAACTAAGAATAGAAAGACAAAGATGTGATGCCCAAGCTTTCCAATTCACACATTCTTGTGCTTCCCTTGGTGAGTAGTGTATACAACACTGAGAGTGAGGGTATACAGATAACTGAGGACCTGCAGAGATCTTGGCAAGAAAGGATGGGATCTAGCTTCTCATGCCAGAGATACATTCAAAATAGACAAACATAAGTTGTCTTTGCCCATTTTTTAACTTCTACCAGGGGTCTATTATATTTTACTTAGCCCTGAGCCCTGAAGGTAGCCTGCTTCATGCAGTGGTATATGGAGTTATGAGACAGGCAAGGATATTGGTCATCTTCCTTTCTCCTGTGACCTTTTATGTTTCCCAGGAACATGCATCAGAGAAGGAAGCCCATCCCAGAGTAAATTCATCCTCATGTCAGTATAAAGGGCAGAGATTGGGGCCATTACCTGCGACTTTCAGCTCAATCAGTGTATCACTGTAGAAAGAGTCATGTTGGAATCCACAGCGATATAGCCCATTGTCATAGGGCTGGACATTGAGGATTCTCAGGACCACAATCCCTATAGAGATAGCATCTTTTACAAGTATTGTCCTCCCTGAATACTCCCCCAAGGCTTCTCCAGGCTGGTCCATCCCATCCTTGTACACGTGCACCACCTGGGAGGACAGGAAGCGTGACCAGCGTATCTGCATATGATGAGCGTTTTGGCGAGGTAAGAGGTAGCACGGTAGCTCTGCTTCACCACCCACCAGAGCCACCACAGGTTCATGAGGCCCCTGGATTTGGAATTCTCCTGAAAAGAGACATAGAGGTAGAGGGTGTTAAATTGTGTACATTCATGGTTGGCTATTGCACCTAACAAGTGTCTCTAAAGGGCAGAGCTGCCAGAGCCTTATTTTCATACTTGAATATGTCCAGAGAACTCAAAGGAGTTAGAGATGTGCACAGTGAGATTGGTCGACTTGGACTGGGGTTAGGAACTTACAGAGCAATATTTAAATTTTTTAAAAAGTTATGTTTATGGGTGCAATTTAGAAATACATAATAATCACATTTATCATGGGGAATTTATGCCTGTACATGTTGTCTTCACTCTTCTTTCCCTCTCATTCCTTTCCATTCACCTCACCTCTTCTTTCCCTGTTTATTTACAAAACTTCATTTGCATTTTATCCTTTATTTCTATTTTTTCTATTCTCTTTCTTCCTTTCCCCCTCCCTCACTCCTCTTTCCTTTTGAATAATTTCTTCCTACTTCACATTACCTCTATTATACATTTTGATTCTTATTTACATTTTCAGCTTCTCACACCAGAGAGATAATATGTTATTTATACGTGTGTCCAATTTATTTCACTTAAGAGTGTGGTCTCAAGGTCCATTCATTTAGCTACAAATGTGTTTAGTTTATCACTCTTTATGGCTGAATAGTTTTCCATTGTATTAAAAATATCATTTTATCCATTCATAAATTGGTGGGCATTTGAGTTGTTTTCAAGATTTAGCAGTTAAAAACTGTGCTGCCATAAACATGAGTGTGCATATGTTGCTGTGGTATTATGCTTTTAATTCTTTCTGAAAGATACCCAGCGGGAGAATAGATAGTTCAAATGGGACCTGTAGTCCTACTTTTTTGAAACTCCACACTTATTTCCACAATGGTTGCATCAATTTATACTTCCAGCTACAGTGGGATTATAGATTTTCCCCCCACAGCTCTGTCAGCACTTGTTATTCACCGATTTCTTGCTAATAGCCTTTGAAATTAGATGGGATCTCAGAATTGTTTTGATTTGCATATCTCAAATGACTAGTAATGTTGTACATTTTCCACATATATATTTGCTGTTTGTACTCCCTCTTCTGTGAAGTATGTATTAGTCTCAGATGCCCACTTTTGGATTGGGTCTTTAAATTTAGATGGTCTGATTTTTTTCATATGAACTTTTCATATGTTCTAGATAGCTAAAAGATTTTCCCACTCTGGGTTGTGTTTTCAATATGTTTGTGCTTACTTTTGCTGTGTAAAAGCTTTTTAATAAGATGAGATACCAGTTGTTTATTCTTTGTAGTGTTTCACATGCAATTGGGATGATGTTCATGAAGTCTTTACCTACAGTTCTGTCTTCAAGAGTTCTACCTATTCCAGCTTTCAGCAGAGTTAGTGTTTCTGTTTTACTTATATCTTTGGCCCATTTCAGTTTTAGGTTAGTGCATGGTGAAAGAAACGGGTCTAGTTTTAGCCTGTGGCATGTGGAAAGCCAGTTGTTCCAGGACCCAATTTTAAAGAGGCTATATTTTTTCCAGTGAGCGTGTTTGGCCCCTTTGTCAAAGATAAGGTGGTTGAGAGTGTTTGGAGTTGGTTCTGCATCTTTTAATCTGTTCCACTGATGCTCATGTCTGTTTTTTCTGCACTATGCATGGTAGCTTTGTAGCATAATTTCAGGTTAGGGATTGTGATGCTCCCCCCACACCCCGTCTCACCTCTAATGCTATTGTAGAATTGTTGCTGCTACTCTAGGTCCTTTCTGGTTTGAAATAAATTTTGGGATTGTTCTCTCTAATTCTGAGAGGCATGCTATGGATATTTCAATTGAGATTGCATTAAATTTGTATAACAATTTTGTAAGTGACCATTTTCATGATATTGGTTCTTCCTACCTATCAGTGAGAGATATCTTTCCATTTTTTGATATTCTTTTTGATCTCTTTTTTCAGAATACTAAAGTTTTTAGGGTAGACATATTTTACTATCTTAATTAGATTGATTCCTGTGCATTTGATTTTTTTGATGCTATTGTGAAAAGCATTGTTTCCTTCCTTTCTCTCTCAATGAATTTGTGTTTATTGATTTGCATATTTTGAACCATTCTGGCATCCTACTTCATCATGAATGAGTGAATAGATGAATCCTACTTGGTCATGTTGTACAATCTCCTCAGTGATTTTCTGCATTCTATTTGTCAGTATCTTTTTGTGGATTTTTGCATCTATGTTCATTTGGGAGATTGGCCTGTAGTCCACATTTTTGGTTGGATCTTTCTCTAATTTTAGTATCAGGGTAATACTTGCTTCCAGAAATGACTTCAGGAGTATTGTTTCCCTTTCTACTTTGTTAGCGAGTCTGAGAAGTAGCAACATTAAGTGTTTTCTAAATCTCCTATAGAAGTCAGCAGTGAATATGTCAGGACATGGGCTTTTCTTTGTTGGAAATGGGTTTTTTAGAATTTTTATATGTTCTGATTCAGCTTTGGTAATTCACCTGTATCTAGGCATCTGTCTATTTCTCCCATGTTTTCCATCTTTTTATAATACAGGTTCTTGATGTAGGTACTGATGATCATCAGGTGCTGATGATTTCTACAGGGTCTGTTATGATCTCACCCTTTTCATTCCTAATTGCATGAATTTGAGTCTTTTCTTTCCTTTTTGATAAGGTTGGATATGGGTTTGTTGATTTTATTTAATCTTTCAAAGAAAAAAACTCTTTGATTCATTGGTTCTTTGTGTTGTTTTCTTAGTCTCCATTGCATTAATTTCTGCTCTGATCTTTATAGTTTCCTCCTCGACATGAGCTTTGGGCTTGACTTTTCTCCTTTATCAGAGGTTTGTGGTTCAGAATTAGGGTGTTATTTGAGCTTGCTGTGTTTTTCTGATACAGAAATTCACCACTATAAATTTTCCTCGTAGGACTGCTTTTATTGTTTCCCATAAGTTCTGGTGTGTTTTATCAGCATTATCCCTTCATTATAGATACTATTTAATTTCTTTTTGAATTTCATCTGTGATCCTGTAATTTCTTTTTGAATTTCATCTGTTGTTCAGTAGGGTATGATATAATTTTCATGTGTTTACAGAGATTTGTGGTTTCTTTTTCCATGCTTTCCAATTTTATTGCACTATGGTCAAACAAAATGCATGGCTTAAATTAATTCCTTTGCATTTACTTAAGCATCTTTTCTGGGATAGAATGTAGTCTATTGTGGAGAATATTTCATGTATACCCCAAAGGAATGTATATTCCAAGGTTGTGGTGTGGAATCTTCTGTAAAGTCTACTGAGCATATTTTTTTTCTCAATTGATTCAATTCTGATATTTCTTTTTAAAATTTTCGTCTAGCTTCTCTATTTATTCTTGACTATGGGGTATTAAGGTCTCTCGTTACAATTGTGTTAGTTCTTACAAGTATGTAATGACCTTTATCTCTTTCCATCAGTCTTGGCTTGAAGTTCATATTGTCTGCAAATAGAATAGCAACCTTTGCTTTTTTCTGGGTTCCTGTTTCATGCAGTATTGTTTTCTATCCTTTAACTTTAAGTCTATGAATTTTTTTTGAGTTAAATGTGTTTGCTGTAAGTAGCATATTGTTGAATCTTATTTCTTGATCCATTCTGCCAATCTGTTTCTTTTGATTGATGAATTATGATGATTTACAGTGATGCTTATAGATGATTTATAAGGGCTTATCCTTGTCATGTTATTTTCCTGTTGTTGGTTCTCTTTCTTTCCCCTCTATTTAATTGCTTTCCCTTCCTGTTAGCTTATTTCTATTGGTGATGTTGAAACTGTGGTCTTTGTTTATCTATTTTTACAATATCATTCAGACACTAAATCTATTGGAAGACCAAGTAGGTAAAAATCTCAAGGACATAATAATAAGCAGAGAGTTCATGAAGAAAAACCAAACTGCACAGGAAGAACCTAAAAGAATCAACAACTAGGATCTCATTTTGTTAAAAAGATTTTGTATATCAAAAGAAATCACCAACAGAATGAAAACAAAGCCCACGGATTGGGAAAAGATTTTTGTCAAGTGTCCTTCAGGCAAAAGACTTTTATCTAAAACATATAAAAAATTGAAAAAATTCAGGCCTCCAAATTCAAAGACCCAACTCAAAAATGGGCATCTGAGGTGAATACAAAATGTCAGATGGAGAAATACAAATGCAAAATATATGAAAAAGTGTTCAACATCATTGGTTACTTGAGAAATGCAAATTAAAACAACACTGAGATGCCATCTCACTCCAGAATGAATAGATAACATCAAGAAATCAATCAATAACAAATCTGGAGGGACTTCTCTGTTGTTAGTGGGAGCATAGATTGGTACCACCACTGTGGAAATCAGTGAAGAGATTCCTCAAAAAACAAGGATTAGACAGTTCTCAGATGAAGAAATACAAATGGCAAATAAATATATGAAAAAATGTTCAGCATCATTAGTCATTAGAGAAATGCAAATTAAAACAACACTGAGATTGCATCTCACTCCAGAAAGAATTGCCAGGGTAAAGAAAACTACCAATAACAAATGCTGGAGAGGCTGTGGGGAAAAAGGAACTCTCCTGCACTGTTGCTGGGAGTGTAGACTGATGCAACCACTGTGGAGCTTAGTCTGGAGATTCCTCAAAAAGTTGGGATTGGAAGTACAATTTGATCCAGCTTTCCACTTCTGGGCATATTCCCAGAAGACTGAAAACATCATACCACAGTGATATATGTGCACCCATGTTCAGAGCAGCACAATTTGTAATAGCCAGATCTTGGAAACAACCTAAGTGCCCATCAACTGAGGAATGGATAAAAAAGATATGGTATTTTAATACAATGAATACTACTCAGCTACCAGGATAAACAATAGGCTTTTATAGGTAAATGGATGCACCTAGAAACCATATTCATAAGCGAAAAAAATCAGACTTACATGTGTAAACCCTGTATTGTTTTGCTAATATAAGTAACTGAAGGAGTAAATAAGATCCAAAAATTACAATGCATATAGTGAAGGGGAAAGAAACTGCTAAAAGGGAAATCATGTTGTTTGATCAATTTTGCATGCCTGTATCTAGTAACCTGAGGCACTATTTTAAAGATAACAATATGCAGTATAACAGCCATTGTTAAATTCCTATCGTCTTGTTTTGAAATCCTGTATCGTTAATTTTTTTGGTTATTGTTGTCATTTTGCTTTTATCATTTTTTATTTGTTTGTTTTTTGATTTTTCTGTGTTTTTTCTCTTTAAAAATAAAAAAATGCAGAACATTTTATAAAGCTAACTTCATGATCATAAATATCTTCAGTTGTTCTGAACATGGAAGCATTTTATTTCTCTCAATGGAAATGTTTCCATCTTGATTTTGAAAGATAGCTTTTGCTGAGTACATTGATTTGGTTAGGAGGTTGTTTCTTTCAGAACCTAAAATACTTTGCTTCAAGCTCTCCTTGACTTAAATATTGCGTTGAGAAATCTGTTGTGATTCTGGTGGACTTTGCTTTATGCTGATTTGTTTTTTGTTCTAGCTGCTTTTAATATTTTACTCTTGTGCCAGCTTTCTGGAATCTTGCTTATTATATGTTTTGGTGCACATTTATTTTGTTCATGACTAACTGGGGGTTTATATGCGTCACTTATTTGTGTGCCAACTTCTTTTTTCATGTTTGGGAAGTTTTCTGCCATTAGTTCTGTGAAGAGGCTTTTCATGTCATATACACTCTCTAGATTTCTGATTTACTCCAATCAATCTTATGTTCTTTGCATCATCTTGCAGATGTTGGATTGATTTTTCCTGCTCTCTTGCTATTTTAAAAATGTCTTTCTTTTTGTGGTCGCTATGCATAATCCTGTCTTCTGTATCTGGTATTCTGCCCTTGCTTTTGCTTAGCTGATTATGTATACACTCAAAGGAGTTTTTGATCTCCTGCATATCTGTTTGCATCTGTTTCTTGAGTTCTTTTTCTTTATTATATTGGGCATTCATGGTTTCTATCATTTTCCTAAGCTCCTCCCTTTTTTAATCTATGTCTACTCTAGATTCATTGAGCAAGTGCTTCATTTTGATTGTCATTTCTTTTTTTACCTGAGTGACTATTTCTCTCTCTATATATATATATATTTACCTTTTGTGTTACTTCTGCTGCTATCATTTCAGAAAATCCAGGAAGGTAGATTCTGAGTTCTCTTGCCCTGTTGTGCCCTGGACTTGTTCTGTGTGGGCTATAAGTCTGACCTTGTATTTTGCTTCTGCATCTTGTCATTTTCTATTTTTTAAAAATTTATTTCTATTTTGTTTTCTGTATTGATAGTTATAAATTTCTTATTAACTTATTCATTAGTGTTGAGGCTTCCCAAAGATGTGTCTATTCTTCAGAGACATCTTCCAGATGTAGGTGGTTCTTGGTTTTCATGTCTGTCTCCAGATCCCATCTTCCCAGTTTATTAAGGATGAGATGTTGCTTTCTATTTGGGTCAGCACCCAGTCCTTTGATACTGGACTATGGTGATGGATACAACACCAGACAATTACAGTGTTGTCACACAAGGTAGAGTAACTGATTATAGCAGGTATAACATTTTGGCTAAAGTAGTACTGTTAGAAATAACAATAGAATCAAGCACAGCCTAGAACGTGGCAAACTGTGTTAACTATTAATTTGATAGCTTTAACTCCAAGTACACGTTTTACAACATAATCCAAGATAAAACAGAAACTTGTACGCAAAGAATTTTCCCTTAGTAGAGTGATTTTTTCCATCCAATGTGAAAATTTAACAAGGATAAGGGACAAAAAAGACAAATAAAGAGAAATATGGTAGAAGTAGGGCTAGAAGATAAAGGAAGATGACTTTGAGTGTAGTAAAGAAGGAAGGAGAAAATAAAATTTATTGAAGCTATCCAGAAAGAGTAGAGAAAATCCTGATTCACATGAAAATATCATGAAACCCAGAGATATAGTTGAGGAGAGAAAGAGTATGAGTAGAACAAAGATAAAGGTGTGCACCTAACCCCGCCCCCCCACACACACAGAGGAAAAAAACACACAAGCAAAAAAATAATAACAAAATTCCTCTAATGTCCACAGTTCTTTTGCTGTGTCTTCATCAGAGCTCAAAACAGCTGGATAACCCACCAAACCTGCAGTAGGATTAGTGCTGGCTGTGGGGCTGATCTTGACCTTAGGATGTGGTGGCTGTGGCCAGTGTTTAGCTATCAGCTTCTTGGATGGCCCATCCCTGCTGCAGTCCAAGGTTGCCTGTACCACTGGTTGTAGGGCAGAGAAGCACTAGTTTCCTACTTTTTATACTCACAGCCTCAGGTTGCTTTTGCTGTTGGTTGCAAGTCAGAAGGCATACTGACCTCCTGGCCCAAGGATGCATGTACCACTGGCCACCGGGAAGGGGAGTGCTAGTTTTCCATTCCTTGTACCCTGCTACTGAGGTCCAAGGCTGCTTTTGCTGCTGGTCACAGCTGCACCTGTAGCCCTAGTCTCTCTTTCACACTGCTAGGGCAGAAGGGGTGTTGCTTTCCACTGGCTGTCCTCAACACTGCAGCTGCTCTTAAACTTGCCATCACTACAGGTTCCTGTTAGTCATTATGGTGCAAGACAGAAAAAGAGAAAAAAAGAAAAGAAAGAAGAAAAGAAAAGAAAGGAAAAGAAAAGAAAAGAACTGGCAGCTTGTCAGGGAGGGAGCAGTCCCTTGCCTCTATGTGTGCCAGCTCAATTTGTTGCCAGGCTGCAGTGTCCTCTGTTTCATGGAAATCAGAAGACCAGTGACCTTATATTTTAGGTCTATATTGTGTGGATTGAATTTTGCAATCTCTCCATTTTTTACCCCCATTCCTGCATCACTCTATCAGATAGTAAACATTTGGGCAGCTCTATGGGCTAGATAGTCATTTTATAAAGTACTATGCCTATGTTTTGTTACATCTGCAAGTCGTTTATTTCAGATTAATTTGGCATATGGATGTATGTCCCTCCCTTTCTTCCAATTACCTGTGTTAGTTGATTTTCTCTGAGTAGCTCCAATGTGATTCCTCCTCTACTCAGCCATGTTGAATCCTCCCATAAAGATATTTAAGGAGGCCTTCACTCTCAGTGGGTTCAAGCATAGAGTCAGCAGGACCCTGAGAGTGAAGGCTTCGTTATTGTGCCTTAGCCACCCTACTTAGTTCCTTGTGGGATAGGGAGCCTGGAGAGGACTTGAAAAGTGTAACTCTAGGGTTTGGCGAATAAGCACGGTCATTTCTTTAGAATGGAATCTGCCCCTATCTGTGAGAAGGACAGTGCATGTGGGGACTCAAATTCGGAGTGGACAGCTGGGCAACTGTGTCCACAGAGAATCTGAAGCAGCCCAGAGGGAAAGACTGTTGAGTGTGATTAATTATGTTTGCCAAGAGGAAGAAATGAGAAAGAAGGGGCAGACAATCATATATTTTCCAGTCTTGTTCAACATTTTCTTGTGTTTTTAAGAACATGTAATTGTTTATTATTACCTGGAGATTCTTCACTTTCTCTCAATCTTGCCCCATCACCTACACATGCACACATGCACACACACACACACACACACTAGTAGGCATGGGCCAGCATATGTAAGCAAGAATGCCTAGTGCAACGCCTAGAACATAATAAATTTGAAAAGCTAATTTCTTTGCTTTCTCCAGATTGTGAAAGAATTTGTAATGTTATTTTTCTTCTAGGTTTCCTTTCTTTTTCTCACCTTCTTCCTTCCCCTGCTGTTTTTTCAGACCTGGAGATCAAACCCAGAGCCTCACACACGTCAGACCAGTGCTCTTTCACTCAATTAGACTCCTAGCCTTCTCTCCCTATTTTATTTTATAGAATCAGATTCTCGTAGAAAAATAAAGAGAAGCAAGAACTCTTACCTGAAATTAATGTGGGAAACTGGAAACAAAGATATAGCAAGAAGAGGTTGCCATGGTAAATTGGAGAGATTTGCTGCTTCTTTGGTGACCAAGGCATGGTAACCACAGGGCTATGTGCTGGTGATGCAGGAGAAGAGCCTGCAATAAGAAAGGAGATTAAGGAGGAGCTCAGATTTAAGGCAAGAAGCAGAATAGCAAGGAAAAGAAATCTGACTCACAGGAGGTGATGCACATCTTACCTGTGGTGTTAACATTAAGCAGAAAGGGATCTTCTTGCTCTTATATCTGAAAGTTTTGGGGTTTTCAGGGTCACTCAGGGCACTCAGCTTTGTACCATCTTGCTATCCTCCTGCACGTATATGGGATTCCTCTTATTCTCTTCCCCCAAACCCTCTTTCCAGTCCCATAGCTAAAGGTTGATCCCAAATGGACTAGTCCTGAATCCTTTTGTACCTTTATATATTCTTTTGGCAATTTCTTATAATCTCATGGCTTGTAGTTGGTTGAATCTTCAATGACCTTCACGGGTCCATCTGTCAAAGGCTTTGTCTCCATCCTGTGGCACGACTGGGTATGTATGATGGAAACTAGAAAGAAGGTAGAGCAAAATAGAAGGTTGTTAGTTCTTTAAAGGAATGTGGTTGAGAGAGATATTTAAATCATGGCCCTTTCTGTTTCTCTCTTTGTTTCTAAGCTATCAAGAGGTTAGTAGTTTCCTATGCTACATGCTCCCTTCCATGATATACTCTACCATCACAGTTCCAAATCAACAGAGCCAAGAGAATATGGAAGAAACCTCTGAAACTGTGAGCCAAAACAAATCTTTCCTATTATATGTTGTTTGTATCTGGTATTTTATATCAGCAATGGAAAGCTAATGGAAAATTGGTGTGGACGTGTGTGGTCTTTGCTGTAATGATATCTGAAAATGTTGGTCAGAAACCTTTGGATTTAGCTTGTAAGAAGACTTTAGAAACGTTTAAGATTCAGGTTACAGAAAACCAGAACTGTAAGTGGAGCTTACAAGCTGTTTGGATTGAAGGCTCAAGAGACCAGAACGCTGGTAGAAAGGCAGAGAGTAAATGCTTAAAATGTTAAGATTCTGGAGGTTCTTAGAGATGGACTGGATGTCGTGTGCACTGTGGGAGGGACATGTGCATTTGGGGAATCAGTGGCAGTGTGTTATGATTTAGATCTTGAATATACTATGATGCCCTATGTGATAAAGGGATGGAACTCAGCCTATGACAATATTGAGAGGCGGTGGAACCATTAGGAAGTCAGACTTCTTGGAGGCCTGTTAGGTCTTATTGGCTCTATTCTGTTTAATTTAGTTTGACTTTATTCTCTTTAAAATAATAAATTAAATTTAAAAAGTTATTTATCTCATCTATTTTGTCACAGCAATGGAAAGATGATGAACCCACAACTCAGAGTAACTTCTGCATGTTGGTGACTCACTTCCAGATGTATTGCTTCTGTCTATAATGCCTGGGGGTCCAGCTGTGGGAACTCGCTTCTAGGGGAACTAGCAGCTTAGGGACTCCTCTGCCTTGGATCAGCAGAAATAGCAATAAAATTCTGTCTATCATTGTCTGAGTCATTTCCCTTTACCTGGCCTACTAAGGCTTCTGATGTGTCCTATTAGACATAGAAAAAAATTATATCATCATGAAGAAGAAAGTAACACATTCAACAACCACTACAATGTGGAATTTGGTAGCCATCACTGTAAATTTACTATCCTTGGCCCAAAGATCTTGTTGCTCAGAGACTATCCAGGAAGAGATTATTCTAAGGAAAATGAAAGAAAATCTCAAAATCCATGCCTGATTCAGGTAGAGAGAAATATGATTTTTATGTGGGTGATCTTGGGAAAGTGGAGGCATGCAGTATGAATGTGCAGAATGTTAGAGGGCCATGGTAGCGTGCAAATACAGAGAATTTAACATCTTCATGGAGCTAGTAAGTATGTTTTAGCCTTTTGACATCATGACTCTTGAAAAAATAATGTTTTTTGGGCACATTGTGACAAACTGGGGGGATTTGTAAGGTATAAATGCTTCACAAAAGAATTATATTTTAAAATGTTATGCACCTTGAGAGTATAATGTTAAGTGAAATAAATCAGAGGAACAAGTTTAACTATTGCATAGTTTCTCTTATATGATAAACTCAAAATATAAATAAAAGAACAAAATAAAAGATAGATACTAGGAAAAAGGAGATATGTGTTTTGAGAAAGAGGAGAAGACCAAGAGATGCAAAGAGGGAAGAGGAAGGGAACCAAAACAAAAACAAAAACAAAAACAAAATCGTGGTATGCACATCTCAACTTACCACGAGGAATGTAATCATTATGTACTGCAAAAGTGGACTAACAAAAAATTAAATAAAGAAAGAAAAATGTAGTAGAACTTGTTAGGAGGAATATCTAATATTGAATTTAGAAGATACAAATTTTTATAGTATTCAAAGTTGCTTCAATAAACATACTTGTATTTTTAGTTTTATATTGGAATTGACTACAGATAATTATCAACTGTAATTACTGACTATAATTTTTAAATTTCATAGTAGTGACTTTAGTAAGATATTTTATTTATACAAGTTAGTAATACATAAGTTTTTAAAAATAACATTTCATATTCCCATTATTTTAAATCATATTTAAGGAGTCTAACAACATCTCATTTTCTTTAGAAATGTAGTGTTGGTGTAATAGTTTCAATGTATTGGAATTCCAGTCAATTTTTTTTCTTACTGTTTTAAAATAAGGATGCCAGAAAACTACTTTGTGGATATTGATAGACTGTAAAGTATATACAGAGAGGCAAAAGACCCACAATAGCCAATACAATTTTGAAGGACTGTAAAATTGGAAAACAAATGCTAATCTAACTTCAGGTCCTACAGTAAAGCTACATATCAAGATGGAACAGTATCAGTAAAGATGAAACATATGTGTGAAAGGAATAGCAGGGCCCCTAAACAAACACACAGTGATGTAGTCAATTTATTTTTGACAGGAATGAAAGCAATACAATGGAGCAAAGATGGCATTTTCAAAAAATGGTATTAGAAAAATTGAATATCCACTTGTTGATTCTTGGTATTGTATCTTGCACAATTAGAATTTTGTTCAGACATGAATAAACTGAGTCTAGATATAGATGTTATGTCCTTTACAAAAATTAATTCAAAGTAAATCATAGCTCTAAATGTAAACACAAACTAAAATTCCTAGAAGGAGCTGGGAATGGTGGTGCATGCCTGTAATCTCAGCATTGGGGAGGCTGAGGGAGGAGGATCACTGTGCCTTCAAGGCCAGCCTGAACTGTATAGTGAAACCTGTCTCAAAAAGACAACAAAAAATATTAGAAGACAGAGGAAATTCTAATTGACTTTGAGTTTAGCTATGACTTTTTTTTTTCCACATTAGTCAGGCAAAATAGAGGGAATCCCAGAACAAGTTTCATAGAGTGTGATTAATCTAAGCTATTGGTCATGGTCTCCAAATCTTTACAAGTATGTGCAAGAGACTAATTCACCAAGTTTTTGAACATACAGTTTGGAATAAAGTTTGCTTATAAATGCACCGTTTTATACTCATTCGCATTATACTTCTTTGTCTTGTTTCGCTGAAATTTAAGATGTTTAAGCAAAGTCTGTTTGGCAATCATGTATAGATTAATTCATTTCACTTTTTATCTCTTATTTAGAGAAAAAAGCAAAATAGAAAAAAGGGTAGAAATACAGAATTTCAAAAAATAGCAGTAATACATATAGTTGATAAATTACATATTGTTATCTTAGAAGTAGTTGTTCAAGTTACAAAATCAAAGCATAAAAAATGAACAGACAATCAAATAATGACAGTACAAACTCTTCTGTTTGATAACAAAATTAGTAGTATGGTTATCTATTTTGCACACTTAAACATACATACAGTTATATGTATGTACCTACAAGTTGTTTTTCCTTTTGAGCACTTTCTTTCCCTTTCATTATTACAATACCTATTATACATTTTGGATCTTATTACTCTTTCAGTTTATTATTATTTATTTTTTATACTAGAGAGTCAGCACAATATTTACAAACATGAGTCTGATTTATTTCACTTATGAGGACAGTCTAAACTTGCCTCCATTTACCTATAAAAGCCTCAAGATTATCCCTTTTTTATAACTGAGTAACATTTCATTGCATAAAAATACCACATCTTTTTCATCCATCCTGTGGTTGATGGGCATTTTGGTTGTTTCCAAGATTTAGCTATTACAAATTGTGCTGCTATAAACATGGTGCACATATATCACTGTGACATGACATTTACAGTTTTTCTGGGAAATATCCAGGAGGGGAATAGCTGGATTGAATGGAACTTCCAATCCTAGTTTTTTGTGGAATCTCCATACTGATTTCCAGCCATTCTTTCTGGAGTGAGATGAAATCTCAACACTTTAAATTTGCATTTCTCAAATGACCAGTGATAATGAGCATCTCTTCGTGTATTTATTTGTCATTGTATATCTTCATCTGAGAAATGCATGTTCATTTCAGATGCCCAGTTTTGAGTGGGTCTTTGAATTTGGGGGGCTTGATGTTTTTTAATTCTTCATATGTTCTGGATATAAGTCCTTTGAGGGACTGCTGGCTAAAATTCTTTCCCATTCTGTAGGTCTTTGTTTTGAAGTGCAAAAACTTTTTAGTAATATGAGATCCCAGTTGTTGATTCTTTGAAGTACTTCCCACGCGGTTTGTGTTTTGTTCATAAACTCTTTGCCTACCCTATGTCTCTAAGATTTCTATCTACCTTGTCTTCCAGTAGATTTAGTGTTTGTTTTAATATTAAGATCTTTGACCCATTTTGACTTTAGTGCATGGTGATACACATGGGTCAGATTAATTGGTTTCTAATGGCTTCATATTTCTAAGTTAATAAAGACATAATTGTTAATGTTCATGCTTATTCCTATTTAACTAAACTTTTATACCTTTTTATCATCTCCTCATTTCTGTTGTCTTCACCTTTGGTATTCACTGTACTACTTTCTGTTTCTATAAGTTTGACTGTTTAGGTTTCTCTGTATAAGTGAGAAAATTCATCTTTTGGCTTTCGATATGTTTCCCTTAGTGTGATGTTCTCCAATTCCATTCATGTTGGTACAGAGGAAAGAATTTTCTTCATTTTGAAGTTCATATGGTATTTCACTAGCAATGACTTTTTAGATATATGAAAGGCATAATCCACACAAAAAAGGTAACTGATGAACTGGACTTCATTAAAATCAAAAGAACAGTAAAGCATCAGGTTTCAGGATATATATTTTTGTGTTAACATGATTACCTTGCAGTTAGTTTACATACATCAGTTATAAGTTGATAGCAATCTCTGAATAAAGGGAGGGCAGTCTACTGGGAACTTGTGCTTGACCTCTTTGGTTCCCTACCTCCTTGAGGCTGCAGGAATGACCAGATTTGAGCTCTTTAGATGCGTGTACCTTGAACTCCTGAAGCAGCTCTACAGGCTTTATATCCATGGCTAACAAGAGCACACAGTGGAATTGAGCATACAGCATACAGTGTGATAAACATGAAATCTAGGTGGTTAAGCACTTTCTGGTTCAAGCAGAAAGCATTGTTCCTGTGGCCCACTAGAAGTTATTAATGTCATCATTGATCCTCCTCTTGCACAATCATGTAAATGTTTCATCTGGAGAGAACACCAGTCTAAGACATTCTAAAGAATGAGGCCCACTCACATATTATGTAAAACGGGCTCAAATCTTTTGCAAGTTTATAATATGGCAGATCAACAATAAAATTTTAGGACTACTATATTATCAGGGCAAGAGAGATTCATCTGCCAGAGCCAGCACCCCAGCAGTGGGAAGCGATAGTTTGCAGAAACAGTATAGAGACCTAAGAAGCTCTTGAGAGAGCTGACAGATACTCTTAGCAAAGAATCTTAGGGTGTTACTGCTGAACTCTCCAGGTGGATGTCTTGACACAATCTCTTTTTACATACTCCCTACAAGGTTAAACTGTCTAATGCATGTTTTCCAGGAGTTCTTTTGTCTTCCACATCACACACACAAGAAAAAGGAAAAGAGGAGTAAGCCTTGTTGTTCTATAAAGTTCTGAAGGAGTTGAAGGATGGTGGGGGCTTTACTATGGTTTTTGTGTTTTCTAACACAGTTCTCTTGTAGGGGCACGTTGCAGTTGTTGTTTGGGTTTTTCTCTGTTAAGCAGGGATTTATAATACATCCTTACCTTGCCATTTCTCAACAATAATTTGATTGAAGTCCTTGATCAGGTTCTTTGCTTTTTAGGAAATTCTTTAGTTTCACCAGGGCCACCTTACAGGTTTGCACCTAAATAACCAGCCAGTTGAAGGGAGAGTCAGACAAAGGATTTTCCACAGTACATGTTCACTTTAAAATGGCCACCTTAAGTGACCCTCCCACTCTCTGTTTTCAAAATGGATACACTTGACAGGGACACATTTTTCTTTATAAGAGCTTAATTGAGATGTAATCCACATGCAATAACATATATTATTTTGAAGTATACAATTTTCCTGTCTTTGTTGGATTTTATTGTTTTGGACGTTTCTTATCAATGGAAGTACACAATATGTGGCATTTTATGTCCATGTTCTTTCACTTAGCACAATTACATTCAAGGGTCACCTGGGCTGTAGAGCTACATCCCTTTTCCATTAATGGATTTATTGCATATTATTTATATGTTCGTGGACATTGGATCATTTCAAGTTATTAATTACTATGAGAAATGTTGCTATGAATATTGATGTATACCTTTTCGTACAGACATCTATTTTTGGCTCTGTTGCGTGTATTATAGATGTGGACTTGGTAGGTTAGATAACTGTATGTTTAATATTTTAAGGAACTGCCAAAGTGCTTTCTAAAGTAGCACCATTTTACTTCCCCACCAGTAATGTGTAATGTACTTTTCCACATTTTTGTGAGCACTTGCTGCCATCTTTTTTATTTTAGTTACTTCTGAGGTTTGAATTTTAGCCCCTTCAAAGTTTATGTTGAAACTTGAATTTCCACAATGATGGCATTAAGAGATGTAGCTATTTAGAAGCGATTAGGCCACAAGGGCTATATCCTTATGAATGGATTAAATCCATTGGCATCAGGATATGTTAGTTATCATAAAGGGATGATATTTGGCCCCCTTTCTTATCCATCTCTCGTCTTTTGTTGCACTTCAAATTTTGCCATAGGGTGATGCAACACGAACACCTTCTGCAGATGTAGCTGTCACTTTTGGATTTCACAGCCTCACAAATCATGAATGAAGTTAGTTTATAAATTATCTAATCTGTGGTACTCTGACAAAACAAAAGAAAATGGACTAGAAGAGACATTCTCAGTCTTACATTCACTAAAGTACTATTCACACCAGTCATGAAATGGAAACAACATAAATGTCTATCAGCTCATTAGCTGATACGAAAATAGATAGATACAGAAAATATGGTATATAGTCACAATGGAATACTATTCAACCATGATACACAATGAAATTTTGTTATTGAGACCAAATATCTCCATTTCCAGGCGTGGCGGCACATGGCTGTAATCTCAGCGTTCAGGAGGCTAAGGCAGGAGGATCACCACGTTTCAGGCAAGCCTGGGCTATATAGTGAATGCAAGATCAACCTGAACTACATGGCAAGAAACTGTTTCAAAAATGTTGATTTCATTGAAGTTAAGACAATGATAGTTAACAGAGGTGGTAGAGATGAGTGGGAAAGCGGTAATAAAGCAAGGTTGATCAATGCGTGCTCAACTAAAATTAGATGGGAACAAGGTTTCCTGGTGTGCTATTGCACAATAGAATTACTATGGAAAATAGTAATGCATGATATATTTCAAAAAGGTAGGAGACAGGATTCTCAATGGTCTTACCACAGAGAAATGAGAAAATGGAGGACACATAGAGGAGATAGATATGTTCAACCTGATTTAAACATTAAAAATGTTACCCCATTAATATTTACAATTGTTATTTGTTTTTATTAGTTAAAAATAAGTTTAACGTGGTTGTGGTAGCGCACAACCTACCACTCTGGGAAGTTGAGGCAGGAGAATTGCAAGCACCCAGTCTGGTTAACTTAGCTGGAGCCTGTCTAAGAAAACATAGTGATAATAAAATAGGAGGTGGTGATATACCTCAGTGTGGTACTCCTGAGATCAGTCCTCAGTTATTACCTCCCTCAAAAATTGTTTAAAGTAGACTGAAATATTATCTTAGACAATATGACATGGCTGTGATTGTTGTTTTGATTTGCACTAATGATACTGAGTATTTTATCATGCAGCTATTGACCAGATGCCTAACTTATTTGGAGAAATGCCTGTTTGTCTTTTTGTTATTGACTTGTAAGAGTAATATTTTGGATACAGGATAGTACAAAATACATAATATGCAAATAGTGTCCCATTCTGTGGATTGTCTTTTCACTCTATTGATACTAACTTTTGAAAAAGATTTCAAATTTTGATGAAATCCAGTGAATCTCCTTTCTCTGTACATATTTTCGGTTTCTCTCTGTATGTCTCTCTCCGCTCTCTCTGTTTTTTTTTAATTAGTCCAGTGTGCTTTTGGTGTTATATCTAAAGATAGGCATACCGATCAATAAAATAGAATTGAGAAAGCTTGAAATAAATTCTTACACTTACAGCCAAATTAATATTCAACAAGGGTATCAAGGCAGCTTGATGGGGAAAGAGTAAGTTGTATGGGATAATGGACATTCACAGGCAAAGGAATGAAAGAAAATCCCTTTCTTTCATATAAAAATTTTCATATAAAAATTAATTTCATAATTAATTTCATTAATTTCTTTTCATATAAAAATTAATTTCAAATGAACAATAAACCCAAATGTTAAAGCAAAATTTAAAAATTCTTAGAGTAAAACATAAGCAATAAAATTATGGATAATTTTAAGGAAATTGATATTCAATTGCTATTTCGTTCTTTCAGTTCTTGCATGCTCTTTCCTAATATGAATCAGCTTTAGAAGGTGTCAGTATATATAACTCCCCTTCTGATACTTTAAAAATTTGTGTTGAGATGTGTTGTATTTAGGTAAGTGAAAAAGGAAAAGTGACAGGGTGGGGAACATGCTCTTCCATCCATATTTATTTACACCTCTACCTACATCTATTTAAAACTATGAGTTTACATGAAAACCTCTAATTCAAAACCAATATTACTGGATTTATTTTAATTCCTCTCCCTCTCTAACTACTCAATATTTATAACTTTCAGTCTTTATAACCCTCTTCTCTGAAAGCGAGAACCTTGACTGTTAATGTATTCATTTTTTGATCAGTTTCCCTGTGTGAAGCTCATTTTTCCTGCCTGTCATTATCCTTCTGTCTCCAGTTCATACAGGGGACCTGCTCATCTTGTTTGGATTCTGAGAAATGGCGTTGTAGTCTAGTCCTTCCTGATCTCGGGCCCAGGCACTGAACAGTGACCTTCACCCTCATGGTCCCCTCCCCCACAGGAAGATGTCACCTGCTTCACCTGTGCTCTGAACTGCCACAGCTCCCCTTCCAGATTCTGTCCCACTGTGCTGCCCGGACAGACATCTTTGTTCTTTTTAACTTAAAGACTTAGAACTGGATTGTTCAGAAAAGGAAGGGCAGAGAAAAGAAAAAAGAAATGGAAGGGGAGGCAAGGGGAAGGTAAGGACTATGTTTTGCTTTTTTAAATAAAAGAAAGACCAATGTGAAAGTCCAGAGGGATAGAATCCTTTTGATCAATGTTAAGGAAGAAGAAATATGGAATTTGAGGGTAGGCATTCATCTTGTTAAAACTACTTACCTCTGACTTCTCTTGAAATCTTCATAGACTCTTTTGTGTCTGTGTTCTCATTTGAGGATCACAGATCGAGGGATCACTGACTAAATAAACAATTGGTACTAAATAAACATTTCCCACATCAGAATCTTTCTTTTTCTTCTTTCTCTTTCTTTTTTTCTTTCTCTTTTTCTCCCTCTCTCGTTCCCCACTCCCCCGCCTTCTTTTTTTGAGACTACTGCCTGAGCTGGCTTTGAATTTACGATTTTTCTAGCTCAGGATTTAGAGCAGCTAAGACTCTAGGCATGTGGTACCATGCCCACCTGGGAACTCACCCTTATTATAGATGGGAACCCCTGGAGAAACCTACATTCACTCTTGCTGTGGGGCTAGGTCTCTGAGATCCTGGGCATTTCCAGTTAGAGACTTTTCTCTCTGGCTCTCAATGCTGGAAGCTGGAAGCAGTCACCGTTGGAAATGTCTCAGTGAAACTGAAAGGAAACTTGGGCTGGGACTAAGTTCATATAGGATGGAAACTCATTGGAGTTCAGCTAATGTAGTAAAGTTCAATAATGTAAGAAACTGAAAGAGTAATAACTTGGTAAAAGTTATAACACTGAAAACACAAATTAGTGTGATTTTGCATAAATTATGAGCAATCTCAATGGAAGTAGGAATATTGTTGCACCATCATGTTAGGTTTGTTTAATGTGTTCCTTCACCCATTTTACATATAGCTTCTCGCATTTTTTCTCTTTTCTCCATCAAAAATAAAGTAAATCTAGATAGAATTTTACTAAGGTTTCGTAATTTTTCCATAAAAAACAAAGTAAATCTAGATAGAATTATACTAAGGCTTTATAATTTATGCTTTACTGTAATGGTAAAAGGTTCAGGTCCACTGCCACCCAATAAAGGCAGAGATTTGAGAGGCAGACTTATGGAAAAGAAAGTGATTTACTGACAATAAGCTGACAAGTTGGAAGATGTGCCCTAAAAGTAAGACATCTGGCTTAGGGGTGGCAAATGCAAGGCTTATGTGGTGATTCAGGCATGTCAGATAGGGAGAGGGTAGGCTAGTTACAGGCAGTTTGGTTTCCCTGAGGGACTTCCTGTTGTTATCTGTAGGTGCTGTTAATATTGATTGTCAACTGGGTTGATTAAAGACACTCAGGATTAAAAGTACACTTGTGGGTGTGTCTGGGCAGCTCTTACACTGAGTCCTTGGGACTATTATGATCCTGGTCCTTTCTTTTTTGGCCCTTCCCCTGCACTCTGCTTCTGATGCCACCTTTCCAGTGGTTTAGCATTTTATTTGGGGTGGTGTCAATGCATTTATTTTGATCATGTCACCCTCCTATTATCTTCATTATACTCCTGCCTCTATGTAATGATATTTTTTCCTCTACTTTCATGTCATATTTTTTAGATCCTACATATTAGAGAGAACATGCAATATTTATCTTTCTGATTTTGGCTTAATTTGCTCAACATAACAATCTCTGGATCCATATATTTTCTTGCAAATGACAGAGTTTCATTCTTATCTGGCCCACACACACTTAATTGTTTCTTTGCCTTTGTCTCCTCTAGATTCATTTATTTATTTTTATTTTAAAAAGTTTTATTTAAAGAAAGGCTAAACAAAACAAAAAATGGGTAGAAATAATACATCCGTTCAAAGAAAAAATAAACAGTAAGAAATCACTAGTTGACGTTTACATACTGTCCTCTAACAAATAGTTGTTCAAGATACAAAAGTGGAACATAAAAAGTGGGAATTCAAACAGCAAGACTGCAAACAGTTCTGTTCAACTATCCAACAAAAACTTAGTAATGTAGTTATCAATCCTATAATACACTTAAACATACATGCAGTTATCCATATCTTCATTTATGTTGGAATTAAATAAACTAAAGCAGGCTAAAATCATTCTGAACAAAGAATAATAGTATTGCTGGATTTCACATCATGACACTCCAGGATTAGCACTGGGTACTGTATTGTCTTTTTTTAAAATGTTATTTAAAGAAAGACTAAACAAGACAGAAAATGCATAGAAATAGTGCATATTTTCAAAGAGAAGAATAAACAGTAAGAAACCACTAGTAAATTAGTACAAATTGTCCTCTTTTTTTTTTTTTTTATCGGTACCAGGGATTGAACTCACGACTGCCTGCTTGCAAGGCAGGTGCTTATGCCGCTGAGCTAAATCCTCAGCCCCCACAGATTGTCCTCTTACAAACTGTTATTCAAGATACTAAAGAGGAGCATATAAAGTAGGGATTCAAACAGTGAGACTGCAACCAGTTCTGTTCAACTATTCAACAAAACTTAGTAATGTGGTTATCAATCCTATACACTTAAACATACATGCAGTTATCCATATCTTCAATTATGTTGAGACTGAACAAACCCAAGCAGGCTAATATCACTCTGAACAAAGAATAATACTATTGCTGGGTTTCACATTATGACACTCCAGGATCAGCACTGGGTACTTTAGTGTCTCTTTTTCTTCAAAGTATTTGTTCATTTCATCATGTATCATAAGATCGGTTCTCATAAGCTGTTTATAGGTTCTACAATGCACGAGTCTTAACATGTATTTCTATCCTTTCTATATTAGAGGAGGAAACAAAACAAAGCAAGACAAAACAAAACATATTCCTATAAATGAAATGAAACATATTCCTATAAATGAAGCGAAAAAGACATAAAAGACCATTGTACAAGGAGTTCTATCATAGTTCCTGTGTTGTCTCTTGTTATCTTCAGTAGAATTGGCTATATCATCAGACATAGTATAATTGAATATATCAGTACATAACAGTATTAATAAAAACACAACTTTGTATATAGTATAAAACTTCAAAAACAGGCACTAATCAAACCAGAATGTGTATCACAGTGAATCTTGTCATCTTCAGTGTAGTTGCCTATACTCTCAGACTTGATACTATCAACCATATCGGTTTTGAATAAAATCTGCCAATACCAAACAGCAGTCAAACAAACCAGATTTAACAAAGATCAGTCATGATAAAACAGTATGTCATACAGGGCTCCAGATTAAGTTAATAGGAAGTTAAAGATGATTACTGTGCTATATCCTGATGTTTTTGGGATAGGTTTCTGTGCCCTCAAATCTAATGCAAGTAGACAAACTGGGACAGGATAAAATCTATCTAAGCAGAGTGGTACACATAATGTGGGTTTTAAATCCTGATACATTATTAACAATACCTTCTGCCATCCTTTTTAAGATTCTCCCTCCCCTTTCACTTCTCCAGGGTACACTGTGCATTTTTGGGTCTCACCAAGAGCCTTGGTTTTAAATTGTGGGGGCAAACCTGCTATTTACCTAAGTGATTGTGAACCTTCTCTCTCCTGGACTTGATCTCTAATTGTATTCCTTTACCTATTAAATACTGTTTTTCCAACCTATCCACAAATACTGGTCTAGTTGCCCCTATTACTCTCTGGTTCTCTGTCACATAGAGCATTATTTTCTCATATTTGATTTTTAGTCCATATACTCTTTTTCATGTTAATTATATTTCCTAAAAATAGCATCTCAGTGGACTCTACCTCCTGATCTACTCTACATGTGGTTCTTTTTTTTTAAATTTAGTGTATCAAGGCCATTTATATTAGAAATTATAACCAACCTTCTCTGCCTCATTTCTGCTATGCTCTTTTTTGCCATCAGTTGTCTGCTTGCCTTCTTCATTCTGTTTTCTGATCCACTCATTGAGGTCTCTCTGCCCTAAAATCCTAGTACTTTTCTCTCTCTAGAATGCCCTGCAGTATTCTCTGTAGAGTTGGATTGGTGGTTGTGAATTTCCCAAGTTCCTCTTTGTCTTGGAAGCATCTTGTTTTTCCATTAATTTCTAGAGACATTTTAGCAGGGTATATTAATCTGGGCTAGAGGTTATTTTCTTTCAGGGCTTGGAATATTTCACTCCAGGCTCTTCTTGACTTGATGGTTTGTGTTGAGAAATCTGCCATGATTCTGATGGGCCTTCCTTTATAGGTTATCTGTTTCTTGTCTCTAACAGCTTTTAATATTGTTCTTATATTGAATTTCTGGGATCTTGATTATTATATGCCTGGGTGTTGTTTTGTTTTGGTTGTAGGTGGCTGGAGTTCTGTATGCCTCATACATCTTAATATCATTTCCTTTTCCTACGTTTGGGAAGTTTTCCTTAATTATTTCTGTGAATAGTCTTTGTAGTTCCTTTGTTTGTATCCCTGCTTCTTCATTCATTCTTTAATCTCAAGTTATAGATCCTCTTGTCATCTTCTAGCCTTTGTATTATTACTGCTTGTTTCCTTGTTATTTTTAAAAAGTTTTTCCTTTCATAATCCCACATTGCAAAACTGTCCTCCAGTTTGGATAATCTATCCTTAATTTTTTTCAAGCAGTTTTTCCATCTTTCCATAGAGTTTTTAATTTCCTGGTAATCTCTTTAAATCTGTTCCATGTATTCTATATTTTCTTTATATTCTTCATCAAATGGTTCTCTCCTATGAGTTCCTTCATTCTTCCATCCATGTCTGCTTGAGGGGTGCTTAGCATCTCTTTTATTAATCTTCTTATATCTTGCTTTACTTGGCTAAATATTTCCCTTTTGAACTCATCTATGACGTCCAGAAGATATCTCTTTATGTCCACTGGTGCTGTGTCTGATATTGCATGTTTACTGTCCTCATTCTCCTTTGTATTTACTTGTCCTGGGTCAATGTTCTCAGGGTTAGGACCTGGGGACTTTTTCTTTTTGCTTCCTCTTCCCATCTTTTTTGTTTCTTCTGGGAGGCCCCAGTTTCTTTCTTTGTTGGTTATAATTCTTCTGAAGCATGCTGGCTAGGTGACCCTTCCCACTGCTGTGTGCTTAGTGAGTAGCAAACAGAAGAAGCATATGCTGGCCCCTCCCTTCCGGATTAGTCAAGCTGCTAAGGCCTGCACTGTATTACTGTGCGCCGCCTCCTGTCCGGGTCAGTCAACTGCTGAGGCCTTCTCTGCATTAGTGTGTGCTGCCAGTGTAGGGAAGTGATTTTGGATAACCTACTGGGTCTTAGCCAGGTCATGTGACCCAAGCCTAGCTCACTCCACCAGTCCCATTTGGAAGGGAATAACTGACTGAAGTCACTGCTGCCCCTTGTTCCTGTCAGTCCTGCCCAGTCCCAGAATGTCATCTGTTGGAGCCCCCTTCTCTGTGGAATGGTTTTATTCCCATCACTCACCCCAGGTCGATGCAGGTTCCCTGTTAGCTCAGCTCTCTGTTTGGTTCGCTGATCCCCGACCTCAGTGTGACTGTGTTTCCAGTGAATCAAAGTGGCAGGATTTCAAATGGCTCAGTAAGTCACTGCCGCTCAAGTTCAGGTGCTGCAGCGGGAGCACTCAACCTTTAGCTGTTCCAGTAGTAGCACCGGGTCTGTATGTTTGATTGGTCCTTCTCACCTTAGTTTCTT